CTTTTTTTATTTGACTTATCTCTTTGATTTCATTCTTTCTTTTATTTTTAATTCAATTATAATGTTAAGAAGAGTATTTGATAAGATAATAATAAAAGATAAAATGATAAATCTGTTAATTATTATTAAATTTGAAATGTATAAATTTCTTTATTTCAAAATAAAATAATAAAATAAAAGGAATAAAAGTAACTCAATCATTAATAACAATAATTTGATTATTCATTAATGAGTTGGAATGAATGTAAAAATATTAATGTAAAATTGAATATGAAATAAAGGTAAAAGATATAATGAAACATATAATAAAATAAATGAGATGAAGTGTAGAAATATAAAAGTATTTCATGATAAATCAAAATATTTAGTAGAGAGTAAAAGAAGTAATTTCATTTGAATATTAAGAAATAAACAAATCAAATTCTATTTTTCCTTATTTTCAATGTTATTCATTTCTTTATTTTATTTTTCATTATAGTTTTTATCTTTCTTATTTCTTTTCTTTATTGATATGAATAATTTGATTTAATCTTTTAATCTTATTCTCCTCTTATTTTACTTCTTATTTCTTTCTTTTTCTTTATCTTTTATTCGTCTTTCTCTCTTTAATTTGTCTAAACAAAATAACAAGATATTTTTTATCACTTCTTCATTTATTATCTTTTTCTTTTATTTCTTTTCTTAATTTTATTTTATTTCTTCTTTTATTTTACTTCTTATTTGTCTTTAATAGTAATTGTTTTCTTCATTTCTTCTTATTTTATTTCTTTTTATTTATCAACTTCTTTTATTATTTTTCCTTCTTTTTCTTTATTTCTTCTCTCTTTTTATTCATTTCTTTATTCTTTCTTTTTATTTCAAATGAAATCAAGAATAAAAAATAAGAAGAAAAATAAAAAAAAAGAAAAATCAAAAAAACAAGAAATTTCTATTTCATTTTATTCAAATAAGAATTACAACCATCAATTAGTAAAGAATAAATTGAACATGAAACATTTAATACAAATACCACCATGAACATTAGAATATATTAATATAAGAAACATGAACAATAATTAATAAATTAAATAATATAGGTTATAGTATTAACACATAAAGAAATATAAAAGGATGATGGATTGATAGACATTGGGAATATCGTTAATAAATAAAATAAATAAAGAATATAGTAAAAGAAATAGAAATACTATAAAAATAATAAAATAAGTTTACTAACAAAGAGAAAATTAAAGAGTTAAAAAAAACAGAGAATAAATAAGAGATATATTGAATTATCATGTACAGAATTATAAAATAGTAAAATTTATAAAAAGAATAAATATAAGAAAAAGATATAGACATAAAAGAAAGAAGAGATTCAAAGAAAAGAAAAGACATTGAATAAAAATTAATGAAAGTTAGTATATCTTATTTTTCTTATTTATTTATTTTTATTACTTCTTTTATTTCAACAAATAAATTGAATGTATTAATTATTTTAATTCATTATCAATTTGTGTATTATTATTATTATTTCTTTATTTCTTCTTTATTTCTTCTATTGACTTCAATCTTATTTTCTTTCTTTATTTTAAATGGGTTTATTATTACTTATTTATATTAATTAATATCTTCTATTTAATTTCAATTTCATGTACTAATCTTTGTATTTCTTCTTCTTTAAGTTGATTTCTTAATTTTAATTGTAATAATTTAAATGAAAAGAATTATGTAATGATAGAATTTATTCTTCTCTTTCTCATTATTTCATTTATTTTAAGATAGTTTCATTCATATGAAGTGAAATTCTTATGTTCAAATCATATCTCTTCAATAAAAATGAAGTGAGAATAATAGTATATTTCAATTTTAGAAATCATCTTGAAATGATGATATTTCATCAGTTACTAAACATTGAATTTATTCACTAATTATGTTTCAGATGAAAGAGATATAATGTGATTTAACTCTTCTTTGTTGTATAATTTTAAATTAAATAAATTAACAAACAAGAAATATAAATGATATAATAAATTAATTACTTCAGATTCAATTGTGATTCAACAATGAATTGAAATAATAATATATCATTCTCTTATTTTTGAATGATTAACTGATTCTCATTTATCATCATTAATAATATAATAAGAAATGATAAATTATTAATTGTTTGTTCATTTATTTTTATTTCATTTCTTCTTTCTCTTTATTGTTCTCTTCTTTCATTAAAAACATGAAATAAAATGAATTTGATAATCTCATTATTTCAGAATTAAATGATTACATTACATTATAATTATGAAAGAATGAAAAGAAGAGCAGAAATGGCATATCTTAAAGAACATTATCCACAAAATATATTTCAATTTCATAAATAGGTATAAAATTTCAAACCATCAAGAAGAACAAAACGAGATAGTTGTTGAACCTGATGTACACTTTCAATAAGATAGGAAAGAATACCTTGTTTTTTCAATAATCATTTCAGTGAAATACATAATATTTTAAATCAATGATTAGAAAATGAACTATCAGAACATTAGTTTATTATTCCTGATATCCTTAAAAGTAATTTAAAACAAATTGCAGAAAAGGAAGAACTACATGGACTTTTAAGAACTTTTGCTATTTGTTTAATTCCATTTTATGAAGTGTATCAAGGGTGTAGTTGTTGGTGTAATATTTTAGCAACAAAATTATCTTCAAAATCATCAGAAGATGATAACAGAATACATCAGTTGACATATCATGTATATAAAACAAAAGAATTAATTGAAAAATATGGAAATGAAATACAATCAGGTAAAATATGTGGTATTTATATTGAAAATAATTTTAATGGGAATAGTGGTTATATTACAGATTGTGATACTAGTTTGTATCAAATCATAGAATTAAAACTTTGTGAATTAGTATCTTCATATAAAAGTTTATATTATAAATTCAAAACATTAATTGATGTATTGAATGAAGCTGAGTGAGAGATTCAATCAACATTAAATGAATGGAAAAGATTAGAATTTTGTTTTGTTATTAATAGAGTGAATTATTATCTTACAAGACAAGAAGAACTTTTAAGTGATAAATCATTTGAAGAACTTAAATTAATGACAATTCATAGGAAAATGCTTAATCAATTTGTAATTAAATACAAACATTTATATTTAACAAATACAGAAACTATTCTTGGAATTACATTAACTTAACATAAAATATACTTCATTATTTATTGATTCAAATGTTAGTGAATTTTATAAAAAGATTATAAAAAGATTAAATACAGAAGCACAGATTCTTACAAATAAATATTCATAGATTGAATTCACAATAGAAAGGATAAAGAAATAGCAGAGAGTTTAAAACATGATAACAATCAAGATTTATTAGATAAATTGAAAATAGAAATAAGTGAATTAAAAAATAAACTAAAAAAGTTATGTGGAGATGCAGTAACTGAAGTTGGTAAAGTTATAGTACAGAAAGTGGATGATGTATCAGATGGTGCTGTTTCAATTTTTGATATTTATTCATTAATACAATAATTTAAAATAAAAGATATATTAGATTATATGTTAACACAAAATAAAATAACAAACAACTCACAACAAGGAGGTAATGATAATCATCCAACAAATAATACAAATGAACAAAATAATTCATCTAAAATATCTTTATATAATAATAATACACCACTTGGAAGAACAATAAAAACTATAAACATTACTCAAGAATAATTAGATAAACTCCATTCATCATTTAATAATATTGTTGATGCACAAACTATAACAAATAAAATTGAATTGTATAAAAAACAAATGATTGGATTTGAAAAAGTTCAAGAAATATCAAATAATTTTATTAATTTACTTAAACTTAAAATAATATTGAAAAGAGAATGACAATTTGATGAGATTGATATTAATGAATAGTTATGAATTATTGTTACAGAAAATAACAAATATGTTGTCAATCCAAGAACTAGTTCTGAATGTAAAATTAATCATAAAATATATAAAATAGAAAAAGTATTAAATTATAATGAAGAATATGAAGAATAATAATCAAAATGATAATTTGAATTTATTTTAATGACTTTATGGTTTTATTTCAATACTTCCAAATAAATGATAATGAAAACATGAATAATTATAACTATTTTTATACATTATATTAATATATAATTTGAATATATAATTAACAAATAATTAATACTTATTATATTTATAATGACATCAATTAAATATTATAAAATATTCATTTTTATTTTAATTAAAATGAATATAACAAATAAAATAAGATATTGTTATATTTATCTTTTTTTATTTCATATTTTATTAAACCAAAATTATATTTTAAATTAAACCTTCTTCAATTAGAGAATTAATGTGATTATTCCAATTATTATCATGACTAGGTTTACTGTCATGCTTGGTGTTCCATCATCTGATTCTGAATCTGTTGGTGGATTAACACATACATCTTCAATGCATTTATTATTGATATAATCAAATTTGTATCCATCATCACAATATGATAGTACACATTTTGTACTCCATTCTCCATTATCTCCACATTCATATCCTCCATGTCCATGTTCTATATTAATTTCTTTATCACATTTTTCATCTCTTTTAACTAATCTTTTATTCTTTGGATTACATTTTGTTTGATATTTCTCTACTATTTTCTTTGTTTCTTCTTCAAATTCTGTAATCACTTTTTCTGTTTGATCAAATTGATAAATATTCACTCTTTCATCTATCATATCAGTTAAGAATTCTCTAGGAATACTTTCATCATAACTATATTTATATCTATAAGATTCCATAAAACTTATTCCAACTTTATATCCATATTGTTTAAATATATTATTTGGCTCAAAGTCATTTAAACCAATAACATTGGTTGGTGATAATCCTACTTCAAATTCTTCATCTTTACCATTAGGATCACCATCATATCCAACAATAATAGCTCCTCCCCATTCTTTTAATCCTTTTGTAACAGATGAACAGGCAGAATAACAAAATGAATCAGTATAAACTACTATTTCTGTTGGTTTTCTTGGGTTTTTCATTAATTTCTTTATTTCGAATTTCATAATTGATGGTTGTGTAACTTTATGTTCAACATCACCATATTTAATAATTTTTGGATTTGTATACCATTCTCCAAGTGTTTGTGGATTAATTCCTTTTTCTCTTACTTCACATGTTTCTGGATCATACAAAATCATACCCGTTCTTGTTTTCATTGTGGCTTCTGTAAAATCTGATATTCTTCCTGAATAGATTGTGTTAATATCATCATATGGTGATATAACTTTCTCAACCCATCTGGAAAGAGAAGCATACCCACCTCCATTCTTTGGGAATATGAGTTGAATAGGATAATTATTAGAATCAAATAAATCAATACATTTTGAAACAGTATCTTCATATGATTTAGCATATGCATCATCAGGACTAAATGATTCAATGACAAATGTATTAATTTTATTATCTGTTAATAAACAATA